TTCATTGATTTGAGTCCAGAAACACAAAATTAAGTTCATCCAGAGACTTTCTAAGTGTGTCCTGCACTGATCAATTGAAAGAACACTCTCTTTTTTATTATCATTACTATTTTACAATATCTTGATAATCAAAAGTGTGTTTAGTTCAAACCATTTTAAATGTTGAAGTGAACTACTCATTTTAAATCAACTGTGAAACAGTATAAATGATTTTTAATCCTCATTCAAAGTAGAAATCAAGTTAATGTTTGTTACAAGAGTAGTTATGCATTGTGATTCTCTGTCTGAAATGAGAAGGAGTAAGTGGGTCAAAAGTCAAGTTTCGGTCAAAAACATGTTTACTGGAAAGAAATGTCATGTTTAACTTTTTCAGACAGATAGAAGGAGAACTGGCTCCAAAAGTCTCTGTTTCTTAAAAACATCTTTCTGTCTGTTCTTAAAACATCTCTTTATCTGTTCCTAAACATTAAATTGTTTTTCTGACTTCTAGTGACCTCTTACGTCACCAAAACCACACCCCTGATTGGTTCTTTCAACCAATCAGGAAGTTCTCAGAGGAACCGGAAGTGACCTCTTTAAAAGGGTCAACACTTCCTAGTTCCAGTAGAACAACGGGAACTAAGCTGAACAAAGTTCAGTTCGGAACGTAGAATGCAGTTCGGAACGCAGAACAAAGTTCCGAGTCTCGTGGGGATTATGGAATCTTCCACATCTGAGTGGAACCTCTGACGGGCTCATGCGAGCCCACCCGAGAGGTGAGCTGCTGTTGAACGAAGTACCGTCACTACTCCGGACGTTTTCCAACCATCCTACGGAGACGCTGGAAATGGTAGCGTTAAATGGAACTCCGTACCAGCTGATTCATCTTCAGAGATTTAACGAGTCGATTTCCTACCGAAGCGTACCGAGGTGGAGCTGGGTTCGAATGGAGAGTGCCTTTCGTTATACAGACACATTTCCCTCACCCATTCTCTCCATTTAAACCTCATTTCCCATCTTTAAAACTCTTCTATCTGCCAGTAATTAATCCAGATATTTTCAGAAATGTCTGTTGTAAAGCTGCAAGGAAACCATGGCCGTATGGTTCTAATTGTAAAGCTCATCAATTAAGCTTGTTATTGTAATCAATTTTGCCAAATTAATGTAAATGTTTGATGTTAAATTTTGATTCTGTTAATAAATGACCACGTTCATTTTGATGGGTCAAAGAAAATTAACGTCTCACGTCACATTTAATCATTCAAGGCACGATATTACTCAGTCCAGAAAAATGAAAGAATCCGTTTAAATTATGAATTTTATCTGACAGATATATGTTCATTACAGTGTGCTAATGACCCATTGTTAGGCTGATGGTCCTTCTTGAGCATGTGATCAGCTGGTTTTGGTTGTCAGCAGCAAAACTGGTTGATCCACTCTGAGAAGGTGCTATTTAAGAGACTGAGCTGAAAACAGCACCTCAGACTGAGGAAGTCTCTTGGATGAGAGACGAAACGTTTCTAGATTTTTTTGCTTTGTATTGTTTTTTGTTTTTTTGAATGTCCAGAGGACCAGATTGAACTTTTTTGGATTTTTCTACCTGGATTATTGAGCATGCATCAGGATATATGAAAGTTTCATTTTTATCATTACATTATGGAAAATAATGACCTTTATCACAATATGCTAATTTTTTGAGAAGGACCTGCATGTATGTACAGTATGTATGAATATATAAATGGATGTATGATGGATGTATGATGGATGCATGATGGATGATGTATGTATGTATGTATGGATGGATGGATGTGTAGATGGATGATGGATGGATGGATGTGTAGATGGATAATGGATGGATGGATGGATAATGGTTGGATAATGAATGTATGGATAAATGGATGAATCATGGATGTATGCATAATGGTTGGATAATGGATGAATGGATGAACTGATGTATGGATGGAAGGTGTTAAAGCTCAGTGTTGTGTAGCTGTCCACTGATGACGAGACATTGGGTGTTCCACTGGTAGCTGAAGTTCAGAAATCGCTGTGTGTTAACTTGATCTGTCAGGGCTCCCATCAGTATGTTGGCCACTCAGACAGCAATACCTGGCTTCCCAGTAGCAGCTGGGAGGGAAGTGGAGGAGGGGTGTAGTCTGCTGTCTTTCAGCACAGAGAACATAAGCAGATTTCATGATTACTGAAACTGAGCCTAGAAGGCAAATGTACAGATCTTAACAGAGGCACAGGCCACAACCAAGAGTATAAATAAGTCTTACCAGGTCATGTGCCTTTCCACCCAATGAAAACAGATAGATGTTCAAAGACTTTTTCTCCTGCCTGTAGAATTTTAATCTTCATTTGATTGTGTTTGGATTGTTCTACAGGAGAGACAGCGACTGGAGACCATCCTGACTCTCTGTGCTGAATATAACAAAGGCGAGAGCCCAGGGCTGGACCCTCTGGGCTCTGGGAGGATTGGTTTTCCTGGGAGCCCAGCTGACGGCTTGGCACGAAGGCCATCTCTAGAGAATGTCCTTGGAAATAATAGCCCGTTATCGTCCTCGACCACGTTGCGCCTGGCACAGAAACAGAGAGAGAGCGACGAGGAGAACCTGAAGGAGGAGTGCAGTAGTACGGAGAGTACCCATCAGGAGGTGAGGATGTCCCCGGCTCCCTGCACAGCGTCAGCACAGCTCAATGGAGAGCAACAGGTCAGAGTCAGTGCTTTATTTCTCCACAGAGGTGCTTTCTCTGCATGCTGCTGAGGCACCAGCATGTGAAAATGATGTGCATGGCTCTGCTGCATCATGGTGAGCTTGGGATGCCTCCAAGGATCTCTGAGAAGTATTTAGTGACTTTCTGAGTAAAACCACATTTTTAATGTGAGTGCGTAGACCATCTTAAACTGTTACAGAGCACAAGCGATTGCTGAGCAGCTGCCCTGTAGTTTTGGTTCTTTAACGCAGATCATCATTTCACATGTTTAAGTCAGTAAGTTTTGTTTTGCTAATGGTGTTTTTCTGTGATTATCTGGTTTGTCTGCTAATTAACATAATTCTGTTTGTACTCATTTTTGCATGAAGCTCGTAGAAAAAAAATTAATTTATGTAAGTCTACCCTTCTATTTTGTATATACTAAACGTAATACTTTTACACAGCTGTTTATGGCAGCTGTGGATGAGTGGTTAGAGGAGATGTTCTCCAATGGGAGAGTTGGGGGTTCGATTCCACCAGCAGTCACATGTTGAAGTGTCCCTGGGCAAGTCACTGAACCCCTCATTGCCTCCGATGTGTGTCCCATCGGTGTATGAATGTGATCTAAAGCACTGATTAGTCTTTGTAGAGATATAATAGAGTGCTGTATGAATGCAGTGTTTCCCCTACCATTATACAAGCGGGGCACCCCGCCCCGTCAACAGAACCGAGCGCCCCGTCTACCGAACCCCACCCCCAACCACCTGTCGGCACTGACGTAACGCTAAACTAGCGGCTCGCAATACAGGTACACTAGTTAAAAAGCTAAAGGCAGCCTCTTCCTTCATGCTGAACCTTCACGCTGAATGCACCTCCGCCACTTGAAAACTGTCAGTACAAACAGCGCATGGCTCAGATGTGCTTCTGTCTCTCCCCCCGCCCAAAAATGTCGGTTCAGACATCGCGCGGCTGGGACGTGTCTCTGTCTCTCTCCTCTCACACACCCTGCTCTAAAACTGTAAAACTGTCAGTGCAAACAGCACGGCTGTCTCTGTGTCCCCCAACCCCTCTCTAAAACTGTTGAATCATATACACAGCACGCTGCGCAGCTTAGGACATGTCTCCGTCCTTCTCCCCCCCCGCCCCAGACAAAAATCATGAACGAGATGAGCGCCCCGCCATGGCAATTTATCTAGGGGAAACACTTGATGTGCATGTTTAGTAGAGTAGGGGCAGCTGTGGCTGAGTGGTTAGAGCAGTCGTCTTCCAATGCAGGGGTTGGGGGTTCAAATCCACCAGCAGTCACATGCCGAAGTGTCCCTGGGCAAGACACTAAACCCCTCGTTGCCTCCGATGTGTGTCCCATCGGTGTATGAATGTGATAAAGCTCTGATTAGTCTCATTAGAATGATGTATTCAATTAGCTTTGTAGATCTAGTAGAGAGCTGTATGAATGGGTAAATGAGGCACAGATTGTAGTGTAAAGCGCTTTGAGTATCTTGATCAGATAGAAAGGTACAGTCCATTTGCACAGTCACATTTTATTTCAGTAGATATTTTTTTACATTTATTATTTATTAAACCTTTGGTCACTCAGTGGGCAATCTAACTTCAATTTGAAATTGTGTACGTTGTGTGTGGGATTATCATGCATACTGCTTTATTTGGTGTTGGCTATAGCATCTAAAATAAAGTGTGATGATGCAAAAACTGTATGAAAAAGTCTAAAAGAAAGTTTACTTTCTCTGACCCTAGGAGCTAAAGAATTTCATCTTTTGTCCTGTTAGTAAAAACTGCATTTATGAATTTTAAATTTGCTGCACCCCCAGCCCCCCCTCCAAAAGCGAGGACATTAAACTTAAATCATTACGCGATGTTGCTTTTCATCTCACTACTTCTTAAAGATATCCTGGCACTGATGTTACTAAGAGCTAAAGCAGGTGTTGATCCTCCCATCCTTCCTCTAAATCGTATCCCCACCTTGTACCCAGCTGTTACTCTTTTGGTACGAAATGGTTACCATGTTACAGCGATGGACACTTATCTACGCACTTACAGTTGTGCTCAAAACTTTACTTATCCTGACAGAATTTGTGAATTTTTGGTCATTTCTTAGAAAATATGAATGTTAACACAAAAAACTTTATTTCACTCATTAGTTAGTTGTTGGGTGAAGCCCTTTATTATCAAACAATTGCGTAAGCTTTTTTAAAAATCATAATGACATCAGAAAATACCCAAATGACCTTAATCAAAACTTTGCATATGCTGGAAGTTTTGGCATGATAACATACACACGGTTTGATACACACAGGTGTAAATGACTACTGAAAAGTGCACATCCTCACCTGTGATCTGTTTGCTTGTAATTAGTGGGAGCCAGTAACGTTCTAGGCTCCTGACATGTTTCATCCAGTGTTGCACTGATGTTGGTGGATTCTGAGCCATGAGAAAAGCAACATAATTATCAAAGGATCTCCGGGAGAAGATAGTTGAACGTTATAAAACAGGGAAAAGATATAAAAAGATATCCAAACAAATAAGCATGCCAATCAGCAGTGTTCAGACCCTAAGTAAGAAGTGGAAAATGAGGGACTTTGTTGAAACCCAGCTACGGTCAGTAGGCCAACACAAATTTCAACCACAACTGCCAGGAAAATTGTTCGATGTTCAAAGAAAAACCCACAAATAACTTTAGCTGACATACAAGACTCTCTGTGAGGAAAAAGTGATGTGGATGTTTCAAGATTCACAATATGGAGGCATTTGGAGAAAAATGAGCTGCATGGTCAAGTTTCCAGAAGAAAGCCATAACTGCACCATCGCCTCAAAGCAGCCCACTTACAGTATGCCAAACAGCACAGAGACAAGCCTCAAAACTTCTGGAACAAAGTTATATGGAGTGATGAAACCAAAATTGAAATTTTCTGGCCACAACCATGAATGTTACATTTAAGATAAGATAAGATAGAACTTTATTGATCCCACAGGAAATTGTTGTGCCAGAGGTTCAGTACAAAGGAACATGCACAAGGAGTCGCACAAGATATAAAAATAACAAATAATATAAAAAATACCAACAATTAAGTTCTAAACAGGTCAGGTGCAGACAGAAACATTAAAGTGTTTTTGTGGTGCAGGATTAATTTTATTCTCCTATGTGCAGAAAGTGGGAGGAGTTCAAAAGTTTGATAGTCACAGGGAGGAAGGACTTCCTGTGTTGTTCTGTGGAGCACCTTGGTGGTCTCAGTCTACGACTGAAGGTGCTGTGGTTAGAGTCCAGTGTGTCATGCAGGGGGTGTGATGTGTTGTTCAGGATCTGGAGCAGTTTCCTCAGCATCCTCTGCTCAGACACCTGTCAGAGACTGCAGGTCCACTCCCAGAACTGAACCAGCTCTCCTGATGAGGTTATTGAGTCTGTTGGCATCAGCTTTCTTCACCCTGCTGCCCCAGCACACCACAGCGTAGAAGAAGACGCTGGAGACCACTGAGTGGTAAAACATCTGCAACATGGTCCTGCAGACGATAAAGGACCTGAGTCTCCTCAGAAGAAAAAGGCAACTCTGCCCTTTCTTGTAGAGGGGGTTGGTGTTAGCTGTCCAGTCCAGTTTATTGTCTAGGTGGACCCCCAGGTACTGGTAGCAGTCCACAGTGTCCACCTTAGTACCCTCGATGTTGATAGGGTTGTGTGTGTGTGGCTAATCTTCTTCCTGTAGTCCACCTAGCTCTTTAGTTTTTCCAACATTGAGTTGCAGGTGGTTCTGTCCACCACACCTGTGTATTCAGCTTCCTGATCACCAGTGATGCAGCCCACATTTGAAGAGGAGTCAACAATGCCCATGATGAAAAGTACACCATCCCTACCGGGAAACAAAGAGGTGGATCACTGATGTTTTGTGGATGTGTAAGCTGCACAGGGAACTTGGCCAGAATTGATGGCTATATGAATGCTGCATGTTATCAGAAAATACTGGAGGGATATTTGCACTCATCAGTTTGATAGCTGCATGTGGGATGCTCTTGGACATTCCAACATGACAACGATCCAAAACACAAGGCCAGGTCAACATGTCAATGGCTACAGCAGAAAGAAGTGATGGTTCTGGAATGGCCATCTCTGTCTCCTGGCCTCACTGTCATTGAGCCACTTTGGAGAGATCTCAAACGTGCAGTTCATGCAAGAATTTACAGGAACTGGAGACATTTTTGCCAAGAAGAGTGGGCAGCTTTACTATGTGAGAAAATAAAGTGTCTCATCCACAACTTTCACAAAAGACTTCAGGCTGTCATTGACACTAAAGGAGGGAATGTAATGTGTTATAAACTAGAATCTGTAAATGTTTGATCAGGGTCAAATGAGTATTTTCTGTTGTCAGTATGATGTGAAAAAGGCAAACACAATTGTTTGATAATAAATGGCTTCACCCAACCACTAACCATGGGTGAAAGAAAAGTTTCTGTTTAATCGTTCATGTTCTCCAAAAATAAAGTCATAACTTTTATGGGCGGAATTTCTTGGTGCAGCCAGGGGCGGAGGGATTCTGGTTCAGTGGCCTCAGGATTCCTGCTCTTCTCTTTGCAGATGATGTGGTCCTGTTGGCCTCAGTGTGCTGTGATCTTCAGCTCTCACTGGAATGGTTCAAAACCAAGTGTGAAGCAGCTGGGATGAGAAGCTTTCTGTTTACTGGTTGCTCTATGTTCCTACCCTCACCTATGGTCATGAACTCTCTGTAATGACCGTAAGAACAAGATCGCTGATACAGGTGGTTGAAATGAGTTTCCTCCTCAGAGTAGCTGGACTCTCCCTTAAAGATAGGGTGAGACATCAATTATCCTGGAGAGCTTCCACTGGTCCTCCACATCGACAGGAGCCAGTTAAGGTGGTTCAGGCATCTGGTAAGGATGCTTTCTGGGCGCCTCCCTAGGGAGGTTTTTTGGGCATGTTTGACTGGGAGGAGACCCCGGGGAAGACCCAGGACACGCTGGAGAGGCTACATTTCTTGGTTGGCCTGGGAACACGTTGGAATCCTCCCAGAAGAGCTGGAAGAGGCAGCTGTGAACAGATGTCTGGACCTCCCTGCTCAAGCTGCTGCCCTGAGATCTGACTTAGGAACAAGTGGAAGATGGATGGATGGATGGATGGATGGATGGATGGATGGATGGATGGATGGATTCTCCAAAAAATGGCCAAAAAAATCATATTCTCTCAGGGTATATAAACTCTTGAGCACAACTGTACATGGGTAGTGGCTTTGGCTCAGTGACTGGAAGGCTGCCTTCCAAGCAAAGGACCCCCAGACTCTACAACGTGCCAAACTATCCTTGGCTAATACACTGAATCCCCTACTTTCCCGATATGCTTATCTGTGTACAATTGAGATACTAAAACGATGTCATAAAATATGTAACAGAAAGCTTTGGGTATATGAGAAACCCCATAAAGGGCTTTGTAGAACTTGGAGAGGTTCAAAAGAACTACGCAAGTGTAAATCTTACATTGTTAGTGTAAATGGTAAATATACCATGTATGGACATTTTGTACACCAGCTGACCCTGCACAAGATCAAACGTTTTCCTTTTTATTATTTTAATGCCTAGCTTGAATAGAGCAGCATTTTTTTATTCTGTTTTGAGCTTTGAGGAAATTCTGATACTTGTACTAATGCAAGTACTAATTTAGTGCTAATAGTACTAATAGTACTAATGTAATAATATGGTCTAAATCTGCTAATCTTTTATGTCCAAAATGTACTCCAGTAGAAATCATTATGCTGCCAACACGGACACAAAAGGTCCAAAGAGGCTAATTAGGTGTAGGTACAAAGTGACCAAGAGCAGAGTTTTTAAATTACAAACAAATAAATAAATAATCGCTGTTTAACCACTTTTCTAGTGCTAGTTTGTCCTAACTTTTTGGAATGTGCTGCATTTATAAACAGATGACATTGATGGGAACAAACTTGAAATGTTTCAAAATATCTTTAATAAGAAAAAAGATGCAGTAAATGTAAAATCATCTGTTTTCAATGTTTGTTTTATTTCCATTTTTCTACCGGCAAGTGTTTTTTAATGTTTTCAGACAGTACAATGCAACCAGGCAGATGTTGTTTCTTTAACCCGGCCGTCTGCACTCCTGCAGCATGAAGACTCCTCGGGTCATTCAGAGCTCGGTTATCTGGAGGATGAGAGGGTTCGTGTTCTGGCTCGGATCGATGAGTTCAAAACTCGGCTCACTGAGTTGGAACAACAACTTCAGGAGTCCAAACAAGAGGTGGAAATAAACATTAAAATAAGAGTTTGCCTTCATGTTTTATTTTCATGGTAGCGGTTAATGGCTCAGGATGGTACAGTATTGGTCTTCTCGCTCATGAATGGCGCTGTAATGTTTGGTGCTTTCTTTGTTCAGGCAGAGATGGAGCGAGCCTTGCTGCAGGGCGAGAGGGAGGCCGAGCTTGAGCAGATAGAGGCTGAGTCCATGGTCATCAACCAGCTGCAGCACAAGCTCGATGAGCTGGAGAATGCCGTCCAGCGTGAGAAGGATAAGGTACACAGACAGCATCCAGGTTTAGGCACCTTTTACGTTTTTAACTCTCACTCAAATACTTCCTGCTTATTTACAACTTATGTTCTACATAGAAAATATAAAAACCATACTGATGGTTTCCTACAGTGTTTTTTTTTCAGTTTTTTAAAAGGCTTATTTGACTTTGTTCAACTGTCCCCCTCTTACAATGCTGTGATTGCTAGTATCACTCAGCCCTCTGTGAATAGTAAACAGCCATCAGGTGCTAATGATCCATTGTTAGGCTGATGGTCCTTCTTGAGCATGTGAGCAGCTGGTTTTGGTTGTCAGCAGCAAACTGGTTGATCCATTAGGAGAAGGTGCTATTTATAAGACTGAGCTGAATACAGCACCCCAGACTGAGGAAGTCTTTCAGATGAAAGACGAAACGTTTCTACTTATTTATTTTTTTTTTAGTTTGTTTTGTTTTTTGAATGTCCAGAGGATCTGACTTAACTTTTTTAGACTTCTTTGACTTCCTTTTCCCACTGGTTGTTTCAGGTGGTGTTTTAAGCCAGTCCGTTTTGTGTCTCCTAAGGATCTTTTTTAGGAGAGTTACATTTATTTAGTAGATACATTTGAAGGTTTATAGATGACTGACCCCCGCTGGCTCTGTTTCTGGCTTGTTTTCAACATAATAATTCATGTTTTCTGTTCTGCTTGACCCTGCTATCACCAAATAACGTTTCTTTCTCTGCATCTTCACCACTTACATTAACTACAACTTTATTAAGATTGCTGCATGACAAACCCTCACCTTTAAAACATTTTATTATGTGCCATAGTGCTCTGCAACATACCTTTAATTACATTTTTCAATAATGGGGAAATAAATCTTTTGGCATGTTCACACAACTTTTTATTTTTATTGGGGATTGTCTAGAAAGGCAGCCATCTTTTATTATCCACCTGAAAAGGGTCTTGCTCTTCTTTCAACTTTAATGAGTCCCGAACCACAATGTGTCCCACAAATGTTATATCAAAACGACTGGCTCATCACCGTGAAATGTGCTATTACTTTTATTGGTTTCCACTTAACATGGTGACATAATTTGCAAACAAATAACTCGGCTACTGTATTTTAAAATATGTTGAGCTGAAATTTGGTGTGGTGGTAGTTTAGAGCAATGCCCAATAACTCCTGAATTCAAATAAAACATTCAAGATGGCCACCAAAGCTGCAATTAAATGGCTTTAACTCAGCTATTTTTACATACCAGTATATAGAGCTGGAATTTGGTGAGGTTATAGCTGAGAACGTTGCCCATCACATACTGAATCCAAATCAAAAATCCAAGATGGCCACTATGCCGTATTTTTCGCTGTGTAAGTCACAGTTTTTTGCATAAATTAGCATGCCTGCGACTTATACAGCGATGCGACGTATTTGTTTTTTTCCCCCCCGTATCTATAACCCAATTTTTGTCTGAGATCTGACGATTTCATTCATTCTGACATGGAAAATATTGAACACTACTATTTTCAGCCACTAGATGGCGCTCGACTAATATGGCAAGCCAAGTGTCTCATTAATAGGTAAAAGTGGCTATTAATTAGACACTTGGCTTGCCATACCAAGTCACCTTGGTCTCGCTCCGGAACTCCTGGAGCAAACATCAAAATCAGCTGCATTTCGCCGTGACGCCCAGGAGAGATGCAGCTGATTTGACCATTAAAGTGCATTTATTAAGGAAAAGTTCAACTGATACACACATTTACGGTACTATAATGTCGAGCAAACAAATAATTGTTATTACGTGGTTATCTTCATAAATTTCGAAGAAATGCACAGCGAGTTCTCCCCTGCATGTTCCCGCAGCTACAGACTGGCTTTTGAAATGCAGCTGATTTGACCGTTCAAGTCCTTTTATTAAGGAAAAGTTCAACTGAGACACACATTTGCTATAATTTTGAGCAAACAAATAATTGATTTTAGGTGTTAATCTTGTTAAATTGTTGTTAAAGTCCTCCCATGCACGCTTCCACAGCCGCCATTTGGCAGCCAATCGATTTTTGCCACAACACCTGCCCACATTTCCGGGTGGCCAGCAGTGACACGTAACAAATGCGACGCGTCACATAATAGATGTTACGTATATGGCTAAGTGACGTATTTATGTTTTTTCCACTTTATTATACAAATTTGGACTGATGTGACTTATGCGGCGGTGTGACGTGTACGGCGGCAAGTATGGTAGCTTAAAAGAAAAACATGATTATAACTCATTGATTTCTTGCCATATTGAGCGGAAATTTGGTGTGATGGTAGCTGAGAGTGAACCCCAACACATAGTGCTGTCAAATACTGTCAAATCAAATTTCTTAAATGGCTGTAACATGGCAGTCCCCGTCAAGTTTCTCCAGAAACGTTCTCTTTTTTTTTTTTCAAGAAAGTAGACTCTTCCACTCTTCCACAGGGCACATTTAGCAGCTTTGCATTTTCACCGTTGTAATATTTGACCCTAATTCAGCTGTAGAGGATCTTGATCTTCTAAGACGCAGTGAAGTGTTACCTCCTGTCCCACAGGTTAAAGCTTCTTTATTTAAATGTTGTACTCTGTTACGTCTGAGCAGCAGACACTTTATACAAGAATCTAATTTTACTTGAATGGGTTCAAAATGGCCATAACCACACTGGGATTCTCACATAAGAGATTGTGTTTTCTGGAGTGTGACTCTAACCAGACTTTTTTCCACATGGCGGTGTAAGGATAAATCGGCAGTGTCTCTCAGAGTCGCTCCATGTTTTACTGGACACAACAGAAAGGATTGCTTTAGAGCGAGACTTGCTGCCAGCCCTAGAGGACCTTCCCCCCCACATCAAATGCAGATCACAGGAGTTCAAATCCAAAACCCAGTGTTGCCTCAACACAGCCAGTAACAGCCAGGGTCGGATGTATCGATCGATTTCCCAGCTTGAAACTGGAGCAGCACCCGGGAGAGATGATGCGTTTTAGCTGCACCTTAAAGCGAGCCATTTTTATACTTACTGAAGTTTATTTAACCAACCTTTCCTGCTATTTACTGCAAACAGTCTGAAGATTATGAGCGGTCCCCAAGTGCACTTTTTAATGTTTTACTCTGTATGAAATTGTAAACCTAGAAGCAGGTGAGCTGTATAATTACGAGTTACTGTACATAATATCTCTGTACAGGGTACTATGAGAAAAGATCTTTCCTCTTCGTAATAGTTAATATTTTATCAGATGAAAGTGTTTGGTTTTTGGTAAATTACAGATGTTGTTTCTTCTGGCTGCTTTAAAGCTCTTATTTAAGTTTAGTTGAAAACTTACCAAATGTCAGTTACTAATCAGTAATTTTTACAGCTTTTTATTTGCATGGTATGAATTTTAGCCTTGTTTTTTTCCCTCTGTTTTTATGCTCTTCAATCGAACACTGGTCCTGTGTGTGGGTGTGTTGTCTTTCTAGGAAAGGGCTAATGTTGAGGCTGAGCGCCGGGCCTTGCAGAGACTCCAGGAAAAGTATGGCGAGCTGACGAACCAGCTTCATAACTGTCCCGAGTCCCTGCGGGAACACTTGCAGGAACAGCTCAAAAGGGTGGGTCTTCATTCAAGTTGAACCTCCTCGGCCATCCCTACCCTCCACCAATCAACTGTGGCCCCCCTCCTTTCACTAAAAAGCACAAATCCCTTCCAACTTGCAGCAAACAAAGGATCACATTTATTTAAATTTATATGAACGTGGGGCTTTTTATTGGCATTTATCTCCTATCTTAAATATAACTTTGTTGTTTTAATAAAACAGATTTTACTATTGTACTATATGTCAAGAGCATGCACTGCATTTAGATGATCTTTTAGGTTATCCATGCATCCATCATCCATCCATTCAGCCAGCATCCATTCATCCATACATCATCCATCCATTCAGCCAGCATCCAT